TCAATGGGTTTACACACATAGATCCTTGCACAGTAAATACATTAGGTCTGACATCTAATGCCCTAATACATTTTGAACTCCAACTTTTGTGCAGGTTGTTTCTCAGGTCTTATATTCTTTTATAAAGACTTGATACTAAACTGGCTCTTAATCTAAGCTTTATGGCAGAGTTGGAAGAATTTCCAGTGTTTTCTGGGTATTTGGATCTTAAAAAAATATCTGCTTTCCAGGTCAAGTGTGCTCATGGCATTCAGATTTCATCTACCCAAGAGTGTTCTTTTGAAAGCAGTGTTGCTTATTTCTGATTTGGGCCATATAAATCAGAAAGCATGCATTTAGTCTCTAGTAAACACGTCTTTAGTGTCTGTGTGTATGAGTGTGGATGGAAAGTTCTGCAGCCTGAATGTGTCCCCTAAGTTCATGTGTGGGGGACTTAATCCCCAATATGACAGTGTTGAGAAATGGGACTCTTGAACGGTGATTATATCAGGAGAGTTTTGTCCTTGCAAATGGATTAATGCCATTATCATTGGAGTGAGCTCCTGATATGAGGATGGAGTTGGCTTCCTTCCCTTCTTTCTCTTTTTTGCCCTTCTGTCTTCCACCATGGGATTATGCAGCAAGAATATACTCATCAGACACTATACAGATGCCCATGTTATGCCCCTTGGACTTCCCAGGCTCCAAAAGAGTAAGCCAAGTCAATTTCTTTTCCTTGTAAATTTCCCAGCCTGTGGGCATTTTGTTATAGCAACACAAAATGGATGAAGACAGGGTGGGGAGGGCAGATATGAAAAGACCTGGTACTTCTCTCAATAACCAGAGAAAGGACAGACCTATTGTTACAGCAGAGTGAGGTTGGTGTTGAAAGAGGAGAAACACAATGTGCATGGGAAGTACAAAGAAGAAAGATCCAGTGGGTGGAGGTGAGGGGGTGCAGGATAATGCTAAGCTGTTAGGAGGAGAGACAAAGGGGGGAGGCCTTGGAGCAGGATCTTGACAGAGGAAGAAGCATGAAGAGGAGGAGAGAGGAGAGGAAGGAGGTGGGCTGAAAAGGTAGAGGGAATGGTGAGAGCAAAATCAGAAGTGGCCGGGCCATTCCAGGGATGATGAATTGATAACTGAAGAATAGGGTAGAATGAAGGGCGACTTATGTCAGTCTTTTCCCCAGTCACAAAGAGCCAGGCATTCCGATCTTGAGAAATTAGGCTTCCTGACCATATGGACAATGTGGAAGTCACTGTTTCTGAGCAGAGCAAGGACAGGCTCTGAGCCATTGTCGAAAGAGGTGGGAAAGAGAGGAGGAAGGGGAAATGGACAGCCACGTTGAGTTCTCTTCTGGCATGTTTTAAATTAAATCGAATAGAATTAAATGGAACACATTAATGAGAAGATAATAGAACTGATTTATCCAGAGAATTCATTCTAACCAGTGCAGTCAGACATGAGATAAAGCACTAGATCACAGCCTCTGAGCATGGTCGGCATTTCTGAAAGAAAAGTTGATTATGTGGTTTAGACCTAATGCATGATTTTTTTTTTCCTGAGAAATGTACTTTTCCTAAAATTGTCTTTCATTAGCTCCTTTTTTTTCCTTTTCTGTTCTAGAGCTTTTAAAACAAGAACTTATCCCTGGGGGAAATGGGCACAGGGGGCTGATCCATGTCTGTGTCATGGCAGAACAAGTACTTGTGTGTACTGTGGTGTTAAAATCCTGTTCTGGGACTTCCAATAAAGAGACACTGTCATAGGTAGTGAACATCTGGCTCTCATTATCTGTCTGTTAAGACCTTCTGCTCACTCTCAAAAACAAATCCTTAAGCTGGGTGTGGTGGTGCACTTGAGAGGCTTGGGAGGCTGAGGCAGGAGGATCTCGAGTTCAAAGCCAGCTTCAGCAACTTAGCAAGGCCCTAAGCAATTTAGTAAGACCCTGTCTGTAAGTAAAACATTTTTAAAAAGGGCTGGGGATGTGGCTCTGTCGTTAAGCACCCCTGGGTTCAATCCCTATTATAAAAGAGAGAGAGAGAGAGAGAGAGAGAGAGAGAGAGAGAAACTGTAAAAGAAATTGTATATATACATATGTGTGTGTATGTGTGTGTGTGTGTGTATATATATATATATATATATATATATATATATATATGAGAATATGCACAAACATGTGAATAAATATATGATGGCAGCTATTGGTAATACACAATACAGGTAATCCCCTAACTTAGTTTTAACTTTTCACAAAAGTACCAATTGATAGCAAAGCAGTTTTGCCTCTGTTCTTCCTCTGTGAAGTTGCCAGCTTGCTAGAATGGTCCAAACATGGCAGCAGCAATTAATAAAGGACAAAACCTCCTAAGACCATTAGCATCCCGGACAGAGCTCATACTCCAACCCCCTACCAGCCGGGTCCATGCATAGTTGCAGAGGCCTGAGTGAAAACTTAGAGCCCTTGCAGATATTGATAAGAGGAAGGAATTCCACTTGTCCCTTGAGCCAGACAGGAAAACAGGAAAAGAAAATCACAAAACCCTGATCTAAGTAGCACCAACTCTCACTGATTTTTTTCCGACACTCCAGAGCCAAAGAAAAAGTTTTTCATTAACAAATTAAATAATGAATTATTATACCTACTTTCAGTGGGAAACATTAAGTACAGCTTATAGCTACTTATATTGAGCACACAACTACTTAACAATGGATAACTTTTGCTCCCACTTTCCCCTGATAGCTAATTACAAATCTAAAATACCTCTTCAATTTATGTTTTAGGAATAAGATTTTAAATAATATCTATTTTTGCAAAGTTAAGAAATAAGTATCCCTGAGAGATTGCCTATATTAGGAAAAAGTTTGTATGCCCATTTTCCTACAGGTGCCCAAGGGGCAGGTATTTGTTCACGGGGTGAGCTGTTCCTACAGGAAGACGTCTGACTCTGGAAATGCACTCACTAGGAGTGGGGCTGTGTACATCTGCACTTGGTTTACATGCCTTCTCTATCCTAATCACTTTTAGACCCAGATTCTAGAATATCAGCTGCTGTTGGCAGGGTCTGGCTTTGTTGGAGGCTTCCTGTAACCTTTTCTTCTAAAATGCACGATGCTGCAGATTTTATTAAACAAAACAAAACAGTGCAATGAGACCATCACAATTCTCACCACTGCCTGCCCAGTCAACCTGTCCACTGATACACCCTTGTTTCCCTGTGACAGATCTCCTGCTTGAGCATTCCCTATAGTTTGAAGGCAGCTGGTTTTGGTTTCTTGAATCCAACCATCTTCCTTTTATGACTGAGTTCTCACGACCATAGTCCAAGAAAACTTGCTGACCTTTTAGATCTCATTCTACATCAGTAGGGTCAGAATGACCAAGCATTCTACCCATGGAAAGTAGAAAATATATCCATCCTGGAGATTTTATCCTTCTATTGACATAACAGAATTTGAGAACAATTGGAAGCCATACATTGTCTTCTGTAATGTGCGAGTTACTATCTCCATTGGGCTGTTTAATAATTTTCTGACAATAGATCTTTCAAACTAGCTTTCCAACTCACTCTATTTTATGGAGAGTTTTGTGCTAAAAAGTCCTTACTGGATGTGGTTATGACTTAGGTGTCCTTCAGGGTGATTACTCTTCTGGCTGGTGTACAAAGCAGCCCTCTTTGGTATCTTTGCTTATTTGAGAATCATCATCCAAAGGAACAGTTCCCAAATAACTACCTCAATAACTTTAAAATATGATCACAACTTGTTGACTTAGGGGGCTTTCTAGAAGACAGAATGCATCCTATTAGGCTCTGCATCTGAAAAATTGGTCTATCAAACTGCAATGAATTCAAATAACCTTTCTTCTTTGGAGAAGGGTAAAGTGATTCTTGTTTTGAGTTTTGTCCTGCTTTGTCTTGCATTGTAGAAGGGTACACATAATAACTCTCCTGGAGAACTTTTGTGTTCTTTCTAGTTTTATCTAAGTCTATAATACTTATCTAAGTCTATAATACAATTGTCCAATTGTCTTAAGTCTGACCTATTGGCTTTAGCTTCCTTTACAAACCTTTTATTCTGCCATCCAATTCATAGACACACACACTACTCAGTATTCCTGTAATATACAAAGATGCAAGTTGGCATCTATTGGGCTCTTATTAGTAGTTGGGTACCATTATAATTACACATATTAACTCATTTAATCTTCACAACCTGTGATTTGGGTATTAGTGTCATTCCCATTTTATGAAAAAGGAAATTGAGGCTCACACAGAGGAAGCCACTTTCACAACTACTAAATTAAGCAGCTAAGACTGAAATTAATACCCATCTGGTTCCAAAGCCATGAGGATATATTGCTTCCCTACAAAACTCCAAGCAGACCCTTTCAGGCTGGAAATCTATAATTCTTCAGTTGAAAGAGCATATGTTGTGAAATACAATTTGGAGACCCAGAAATTAAAGGTAAATAGTTTGATCCAGTTCCAATTTTTAATATTTTTTATGCCTGCTTCTGTGGCTAGCCCTTGGATTTCTTGTTATTTTTTTTTCCTTGATATAAGAAATGCTATTTCTGTTTAAGTGCTGCTGATTTTGGAAATCGTTCTCATGACTAAATATTTGTTTGCCTAGTAAAAGCCCAGGGAAAGGCTAGGCTGCCAGTGGGTGCTGAATAAAGATTAATGGATGGCCCTGCACGTCTGTGTGGGAGTCATGTGCTTAGGATCTGCTCCGCTCTTCGAAAGTGACAGAAAGGAGGTGGAGAAGATAAAACTTAGAGAGTTGCCACCAAGCCCCAGTCATGGGTTTCTGGATTGGGCTGTATCAACGGAAAGGTCCCAAAGATCCTCATGCAGCAAGCACGAGTGGGAATGTGGGGTATGCCTGGGAAGTGCTGGGAAAATGAAATTCCAAGATTCATATCAAATAGGAAAGAAAACTTGGTTTTGTGATGAGGACTTATTGTTTAATTGACACATATTCTATTATTATATACATATAGCAGATGAGTAATATGCCATATCAGATGGTTTATTCAAATTGTCAATCAAGCGCTGAAGCATGAGTAACTTTCCAGAGAAGCTTCTGCGAAATCCATGCAACATAAAGTGGCAGTAACCAGTCAGACCTCCATCTACTACCAAATCATCCCTGAAAATCTTGGGGGAATCAAAAAAGAGTTTCCCCCCAAATGCATGGAATATATCTAGACAGGAAGGAGACAATAACTCAAATTGACTTCACTCAAAAGTCAAATGCCCATGTGCTACCCTTGATTGCCACTTGACCGAAAGTCTAGGGTTAGCTATAGGGCCTGGGAGAGGACACCTTCGTTATGAATAAGGAATAGTGAGAAACTTTCCAAATATCAGAAGAATTTGAGATGTGAAGGCATTCACTTGCAAAATAAATCTTTGCTTTGGCATCAGAGAAAATGGAAGGAGAAAAACCTCAGTTATTAGGACTATTACCATCAATCTCAGGTTGCCATGGAGTATTCTAGTATTGTGTAGAGAGGTGTCCCTGGCAGCCCATTGGATGGCAGTGATTCTACTCATAGCGCTCCCCCCCCTTTCAGTTGTCTCCTCTGCATGAGCAAAATAAAGATTAACTTTTCAGAATCTGTTCCAACTCTCATATTTCATGTCATCTTTGATGGGTTCCTCCATATAAACATTTTTGAAGTTTGGGATGAGAATTTATTTATATACCTCTACATTTTAAAAACTCCTTTTTAATCCCTCACCAAATTCTCCTTAGGCTAAGGGGATCTTAGGAATTTTGATAATCTGGGACACCAGAGAATAGTTTATTTTATCAACACATTACCCTCCATTGCTGGTACCATATCTCGCCAGTTTTTCCTCCTAAAAGTGACTTTGAGAAGCAAACCCAGAAGGTGTGTTAGGAAAGTACATATTGTGGCCAGGAGAGAACTCATTACATGTTTGCTGCTTAAAAACATAAAAATAAGACAGCTCATGCAAAAAAGAAATTTACAGAAAAAAATATATAAATTATACCCAAGTTATGGGTTATGGATGTACATTTATAAAACCACCATCCTAAAATAAAAATTCAAATTTTGAGAAGTGGGAAGGGCTATTTTTCTGGTACCAGGTTTGTCAGCATCCAGGTGGGATGGACAGATAATGTGGATACCTGGGCCATGCTGAGCAGCACAGCCCAACTCCTTTGAGTTGATTCTCCTACAAAGACCTTAAAGAGCTGCTGAGGGTCCTCTTAACAGAATCAATGAATCTTTATTTCCTTGAGTCTCTCATTTGACCTTATTTTGTTTTGAATCAGAGAAGAATGTAAGAAAGGAGTAAACTGTTGGGGTGAGGTAGGGTGAGAGGTGAGGTGGGTGAAGGGGATTGAGGAAGCCCCAAGGAGATGTCTGCATTGTGGAGCCTGCAGACAAGATCACAGGCTGCTTATGGTCACACGGGATGTTATTGTTTGCTTGCTGTGGCCTTATTTGTTCCCGCTTCTCATTTCAGATTCCTGCCTTGATGTAATAAGTGAACATCTTCCCAGCCATCATCCCATATTGACAAGCAAATGTCATCCATGTTTGATTGACATTCATTGCTCCTGAATGCAGAAGTGTGATTTAGGAATCAATTCTACTTATTTATTTAAAGCTGTTCTTGTTATATATTTGTTGGTGGGGTAACTCACCTAATATCTACTCTAAGGGCTTTCTATTAATATTTGAAATCCAGGCTATTTCCTCTCCTGCTCTCCCAATGTGAATGGGGACTTTTGTCATATTTTTCCTATTTGTCTCTCCCCCAAGGTGCATTTAGGAAATCTGCTATGGGACATGTAGAACTCTTCCATATCTTAGGAAAAGACCTGGCCTAGCACTTGTGTGGGCTCTGCTTGCTTTATCATAAGACTTTTGAAGGTATTTTGACAAGTGATTATTTCTCACACATGTAGCACCTTTAAGCAAATGCGACTTCAGGTCCAATGACAATATCTTCTGAAAGGCTGCTAGAATTGTAAGCCTATAAGTCAAGTACATATGTATACTTTCCCCATTGTGCAGCACTTGTAAAAAGAACCAATACCGCCCCCCCACCTTCTTTATGCAGTGGACGTGTCCATTTAAAATCATTGAGAAATGTCTTTTGGTTTTTTTAGCCCATCTCACTGTTCACAGGGTTAACATCTAATTTCATTTAGAAGGCAGGGGAGAAAAATCATAAGGTTAAAAAATATCATATGTACCATCTGGAAAATTCTACAGGGCTTTCCTTATGTTAAAAGTGGTATTTTGAAAAACACCTGAAAGAGCTGACTGTGGGTGAGCCAGCAGAGAAATACTGTCAAGCAAGCCACCCTCCTTTCAACCTTCACCTCCACCCTCCAACTGAGGCTGCCAGCAGTGGGGACATAGAGGACTTAGGTGTGACCCTTGAATCCTGAAAGCTGTTGCACAGCTGTCTCCCTCCCCCAAGTATGTCCAGCGAGAGCACTGCCATCGCCTGGGTTCAGCAAGGGAGTATTCAGGATCTCACTGTTCATCCATGTGCAGAGAGGGGAAAAAAAAGACAGGCCGAAAAAAAAAAAATCCCACATTGTCAGAGTAATGCCAAACTCTCTCTGAGTGGGATGAGCAGAGCAGATGCTGCAATGAGATGCCAAAGCGGCTCCCCTTCCTCTGTGCCTTGGGTGCCTATAAATTGCTCCGGCGCGCGTTTGTCAGCCTCCTCTTCTCCTGGCAGGTGGTACCCAGGCAGAATTCAGCGTTCAGTCTCTCTCTCGCTCCGCTCTCGGCCGTGAGGCGCTCGCCGCTGCTCGCTAGCTCCTCCACTCCAGCCCCGAGGCTCGCGGAGCCGACAGTGCCAGCCGCCGCCGCCGCTCCGCGCACCCGGGGGGCCCTGGTCAGAGCTCGTGCTGCCAGCGCAGGACTTTGAGGTGCGCTTCTATTAGAGTTGTGGTGGCTGCAGAGGAGGGGGGTAAAGGCAGGGGACGAGCGAAGAGACCGAGAGAAAGAAGAGAAGGAGGAGGCAGAAAAAGGCAACTTCAGACGGAAAGTTGGTGCGAACTGGCGCAGTCTGCAAAAACGGAAAAGTCGATCGCAGGCAGCGGTGGCATAAAAGTGTGAGCGACCAGGACCAGCGCGAGAGGCAGCGGCTGGCTCTGCCCTCCGGGTGGCCGCGCCGGCGCCCGCGCCAGCCACAGGTGCTAAGGGGCTCGCAGGAGGAGAGAGGGCGCCCTGCGCACCCCTCCCCCAGCCCCCACCCTCTGCTCGGGACTTCAGCTCAAGTCACTTGGCGCCCGAGCTCCCTCCCCAGCCGCAACCTCAGCTGGGGGAGCAGGAGCCGGCGAGGAGCGGCCGGCGCCCGCCCGCCCAGGGGACTTGGGGTTCGAAGGGGATTGTTTTCGGCTCTAAGGAGGTCCCCGCCCAACCTTCAAAATTTTGTCCAAAAGCAGACAAGAGGATCGCCCCGCGCTGAGCCGGCTGGTGGGCAGCAGGAGGCGCCTGATCGCCGCCGGGGCGCTGGGGGTGGTGATGGTGCTGCTGCTGGTCATCCTCATCCCGGTGCTGGTGAGCTCGGCCGGCACGTCGGCGCACTACGAGATGCTGGGCACCTGCCGCATGGTCTGCGACCCCTACGGGGGCACCAAGGCGCCCAGCACCGCCGCCACGCCCGACCGTGGCCTCATGCAGTCCCTGCCCACCTTCATCCAGGGCCCCAAAGGCGAGGCCGGCAGACCGGGAAAAGCAGGCCCGCGTGGGCCCCCAGGAGAGCCCGGGCCGCCGGGCCCTGTGGGGCCCCCGGGCGAGAAGGGCGAGCCGGGCCGCCAAGGCCTGCCGGGCCCGCCTGGGGCGCCCGGCCTGAACGCGGCCGGGGCCATCAGCGCCGCCACCTACAGCACGGTGCCCAAGATTGCCTTCTACGCTGGCCTCAAACGGCAGCATGAAGGCTATGAGGTGCTCAAGTTCGACGACGTGGTCACCAACCTCGGAAACCACTACGATCCCACTACCGGCAAATTCACCTGCTCCATCCCGGGCATCTACTTCTTCACCTATCACGTCCTGATGCGCGGAGGGGACGGCACTAGCATGTGGGCTGATCTCTGCAAAAACAACCAGGTGAGTGCGGACTGGCAGTGGGGAGGGCGGGGAGCGGGGATGAAAGGTACAGGCAAGAGGGAGGAGACCCCGGAAATGGGGGGTGGGAGCCAACCGAGGAACGGCGCGGCAACCCTGATCCCGGGAGTTACTGCGAGGCGGACGAAGTGCTAAGCTAGAGAGGCGGGGGTCGGACACCGAGGAGGGCGCCCCGCAGCCTGGAGAGGGTGGTTCCAAAGTCTCTCCCCGGCGCTCGGTACGCGCGCTCTTGTGAGCACTACCCTCCTGGGGCGAGAAGCCGGTAGCTCCAGCGCTGGGCCGTCTACTCTCTCCGACGGCCCGTGCGCTGGGGGAGGTCCGGAGTAGGAAACAACCCCCTGGGTTTGGGATTTCAGCAGCTTAGGGTCGCTAGCTTTCCCGGGAATGGGTAGGATTGAGAGAGCCCAGAATGGGTGTGTCGAGGTGACAAACTCCGGGGAGACAGACAAGGGCTCCTAGGAGAAAGAAGGGACCCGGAGGAGGAGTGAGTCCAAGCGGGGCGCATCCAGGGCAGAGGCAGGACAGTAAGACCCGGAGTCACAGGGCCCTTGCAGCGTCCCAGGCAGAAAAACTCACAAATAATAAATTTCACACTCTTGAGTTCTTGGCTGAAGAAACCAGTTGTCAGCTGAAGAGGCAAGGAATGCTAAGAGAAGCAAAAGTTGAGACTCGGGATTTACACAGTGAAATCACGCACCCAAACACTGGACCCAAACTCCAATTGATCGGAGTAAGAACACACACAGGAAGGTGGCCTGAAAGGTCAGGCGACCGATTCCATCCCCGCTGTGTGGCAATGGGTCTCACCTCCAGGGAGACCCCAGCTACCTGTGAGAGAGCCTTTCCAAACTCAGCCTTCTCGCTCACCCAGGGAAGCAGCCTTGGCCTTTGACTAAAACAGCCTCAGTCACTAAGACCTGCTGTCCTGAGTTGTTAGCCGCTGACCTAAGGGCCAGGGGTTTGCAGTGTTAGGCTAGGGCCACTATACCGTTTGCCAGAGAAATTCGCGACCATTGCAACACTGAAGCCTGTTTGATCTCTTAGTCAGAGGAGGGTAAGAACGTTTCTACTACCTAAAAGTGTAATGTGACCTTTTGTACTCGGCAAATCAGCAGCCGATGGGGCGATGGGGCGATGGGGCGAGGCCTTGCATCTTGCAGCCTGCGGTCGGGAATAAGTTCCTGGGCTTTGCCTGCTTATTGAGTGGCACTGGGAAAGGCCCGCGACCCCGCCATCGCCCTCAAGAGGCCTCATCTCACGCAACAACTTTTGACTTAACAAGGGTTATGGGTTTCAGCTCACCGGCCCTCTGGAAATTCAGACCACCTTAGCTACAACCATTGAAATGGAAAAATGACGTGATTCAGTGTTAGAATTCTTTCAAAAGTGAAAGACAAATGTCCGAAGATGTGTAAGAGAAAAAAAAATGCTGACCCTATCTTTTTCTACAAATAGTTTAGGGTACCTTAGGGCACACAGAACAAAAAAGAGGAAAATGACCACCAGGAGGCACTGGCAGGGTTGTTTGTTATAGTTATTATACAGGAAAATAATGTTAGGATAAATAAAAATTATTCACGGAGCTGTGGGATAGTTATAGGTAAATGGCTGTAAAGGGCATGACTCACTGTTACCAAAATAGAGCTAGTGTGTCATTCTGACAAAATGGTTCTGAACAGCCCCTCCACAGGCAGCCATGAGGCACCCCTTTATTTACAAATTGGCTCTCTTCTGACCAAAAGGTTAGGTCTGGGAAATACTATCAGGCTGAAGAGATTTTTTTTTTCCCCCTTAGAGGTATCAATTAAAATGGAGTAAGTTTCCAGTTTTGTCCAAAGTGTATAAAAATGGTCACATTTTAAAACATCTGGATGCTGCAACTGCATACACAAGTCAGAATAATATATAAAAATTAGTTTAAATGTTTATATTTAGACTATGGAGATTGTTTATTGCAGGGTTCTAAGCAAAACATTTTCTTCAGATACTCTGTGTGCGTTTTGTTTTTAAAATTATTTCATTGTTTGGGGTATAAGCTGCTCCTTTGTATCACTCTAGCTTACACATTCTATGAGGATCAGAAAAACAAGGAAGGCAAAATAGTTCAACTACAAGGTATAATGATTTCCGCTGACAATATTAAGCTGCTATTTCTGCAAAAGGTGTGCAACAGGTAATTCAGAAAAATAAATAATATAGTGGTAAACAATATATTTTTGAGTTTGGTGTGGTCTACTTTAGAAAATGGTTCTATTTCAATATTACTGTTAAGGAATTTTCTCTCTAGAACTATTTTATCAAGTCTGGTCTGCACCACTTATGAATAAGAAATCTTGTAAAAATCTCTTTTTAATTTTAAATAAATACTTTATCTTTGATTTTCAATTATACTCTTGTCTGATCACTTTTTAGAATGGCAGTTTTCCCCCACTCCCCAAGCTGAACCAGTTTGTTTTCATAAAATAAAAAACTCAGAGATCCATGTCAGTGTAATGTTCTATGGACTGAGTGGATTGAGAAGTGCAAAAATTAAACAAAAAAATACAGTTCACTCTAGGAGGGAGCAATGCCTTTGGACCATAACTGTATCAGAGCCATTTTTTTTTAAAAATTCTTTGTATTGAATGTAGGATCACAGATGGAAACATCAAAGGCCAGTAAATTAACCTGATGTGCCACTTAACCTTTTGTTTATGATTCCACAGAAGTACAATGAAAATGAAATTATGAGAACATCAGCAGCAATTAATTAAATTAGCAAATGTTACCATCGACATTGTCTCTAATGATAAGCCCTCAACAATAAGATAATGCTAAAACTATACAACCTATTACATCCTCAAAACAGACCACTAAAAGGACCACGGTTCTCATATTCCCCATGAAACCGTCAACCTAAATTTAATCTTACCATTTGTTGAGAGCCCATGACAGTGCATATTAAAGGTAAAAGTTGGACTCAAATAGCTTACAGACATAAAGGGAAAAAATTTTAATGCTTTTATACTTGTAGCTGGAAACCTGAAAAAAAAATGTTATATGAATACAATTATTATAATGCTGCTCTAATAAGCCACTCTAATAAAAATGAAACTTGTTTAGGATTAGAATTATAAAGAATAATAGACCAATTTTTTACTCATAAGAATTTATTAGTTATGGCAATAAACATGAAATATATTGGAAAAAATGAATAGTTTGTGGTTTGATATTACTTTATTAGAGAGATTAATGACACATCAGACTAATTATTTTTGTAGGGGCAGTGAAAGATGGACTAAAGATAAAGCAGAATCTAAATAGTTTACCTAATAAGAAAAGATTTTAAAGCAAATACAGGTAGAAATGAGTATATTATAGAAAAGGACACATCGTAGTCCCTGACAAAATGCTGAAATCAGTGTACATTTAGGAACCTGAAAATAGCCTTCAGGGTGAACGCATTACCTTCCTCAATAGTTTGATGGCTTAAAGGACGAATTGCTGAAGTCACTGTGCTAGATATTAGAGCTTGAAATTTCAAGTCCCATTATACCTGTAGAGTATGAACAGGTGAGTGGGCATACTCAAGCCCTGTGCACTGAAGTATGGAGATTACTTAATTGGGAAAGTCTTATGGTGGAATTTAGGTTTAAATCTTAGAGAACTGCTTTCATTATACAGCAATCACACTGGCTTTATCCAACAAAGGAAGTAAAAACCGTTCAGGGAGACCATCCAGTCTCTGGAATCTCTCCAATGCATTTTCAGGGTTTTGAATTAAAAATGGTAATGTTTATGTGGCTTTGTGATTATACCCTATAGAATAAAAACTACATTTTAAAAAAGACTACTTTCTCTAAATTAAGTGATTTTTAATGTGTCCTGCTTGCCAAGTGCAATCTTTGTGTAGAAAACAATGATCCAAGACTCATAGAATATACACTAAATACACAAAGCACTGAATAAAATGTGTATCTGGTTATTAATAATAGCTGAGATTTATATTATATTTGATACTTAATATATTACTAACATAGTTAAATATTCTTTTGTATTTAAATTTTCTCATCCATTAAAAATCCACATGTTAAAAAAAAATCTACCCTCTGGTGTAGATTTTTTCCCCTGAGATTTAATGACTAGATGAAATTAATTAAATTAATCAAGCCTTCAACTTCTACAGACTTGACGATTAATTCCTAGGAAATATTATATGTGCAAATGTGTTATTATTTAGTGGTCAAGACCGATCACTTCACTATTGAGTTAATGCCTCTGATCATAATTGCATGGTATATTGCTTTCATCATATTAGTGCCAGTTAGCACACTGTTAAGCAGTTCTAAATCCTTTAAGCCCTTTTCTCCTTTTGCTATATGATATCCAAAAAGAAATTTTTAAAATACTACTCATATTACTTCACAAGTTCAGCAGTGTCAAAGAGCCTTCTCCTTTTTTAACATTTCAGCATTAATGTGAGGATATATCACATGAAATTTTAATTTGAGAATCTATCATTTAAATTTTGAAAGAAATGCATGGCAATTCTTGACTTATGTCTCATTTCTCTCATTTTGCCAAGTGATAAAATCCAGCATATTGTACCCCAAGTCATGCATTATTACATAGTGCAGGTTTACAAAACCACTAAATCACTTGCTATGTTATTCAGGGAAATATCATTATAGTGGAATAGAAACAAGCCACAAAGTAGAAGATGTGTTACTGAAATAAATCAAATCCAAGTCTGCCTATTGAAAGAGTTTCCAAGGCAGAATCAAAATATGTCTAAATGAATATGAAGCCTAATTTGAGTTGAGGATGTGACAGAATGTCCATATTACATGATAAGATAGGCAATTTGACTGTTTGCAAATGTTTATCAGCTCACTAATGAGACCACAGGCTCAATATGAGCAGATTATAAGCAACTTATGTCCTCAAAGCAAAAGCACCTTAAAATATAAAAGGATATTAGATGAGCATTCAAAAATTCTAGAATTTGAGAGAGCTCAAATCATGGTGATTTAGTTCCTTCTATAACTTTTAGATATGTTGCAATTAAATTGTTGATTTAAATGCACATATGATTGACAAAAAAGCACAAATAGAAAAAAAGAACTCTGAAAACGTGGGTGGTATAGCTAAAGATGTTTAAATGAGTTGAGCTTTGGAAGCAGCCTGGTAAAAGGGGCTTTACTTGTGTTAGATTTTGAAAGTCCTAAAGCAAAGGGCTTTCTTGTTTTCTTTTTATATAGTAGCAGAATGGTACTTCTCTGGATCTTTACCTACTATGGATCTCAATTTTCTCACAATTGTGATGAGCAAATGAAGTTAAACTTGAACTTCTGCACTCATACACAGTTGGTTAGAATATTGCTATTTGGTTTATATTAAAATGCAAAACAATACTATTATTTCCATTTCAAAAGGTGATTTTGGGCATAGGGATTCAAGGAATTAGAAAAAGTAGTGATATAGGAAGAAATTAGATTGGTATGTTTTGTTTACAATGATAGAAAAGATTGCTGGAATAGCCCTCAGTGAAGCACCGTTTTCTCCCTTCCTTTGCAATAACACGGTTGCAACTGTTTACAGAGATGGACTTGCAAAGTTCAGAGGCCAAGTAGATGTCCCCACACTCTCTGTGCTCCAGCAGCAAGTCTGCTTAGGATGCTGTGTGAATGGAAAAAGACGAAAACTTGAGAATTCTCTTTTACAAACTCTAATTTTTGTCTGTTTCATATAGGTGCGTGCGAGTGCCATTGCCCAAGATGCTGATCAGAATTACGACTATGCCAGTAACAGTGTGGTTCTGCATCTGGAGCCAGGAGATGAAGTCTATATCAAATTAGATGGTGGGAAAGCCCATGGAGGAAACAACAACAAATACAGCACATTTTCTGGATTTATTATTTATGCTGACTGATAATGCAGAAACTAAGCTTATTATTCTGAGTTTGAACACTGGATTTGAATGGCTACCGTCAGTGAATCAAG